AATATTTGAGGGGCTGCCACAAAGAAGTGGGGAGGAGGAATCAACATTTTCCAAAGTACCTGAGGGCAGGGCAAGGAACAATGGATGGAAACTAATCCAGGAGAGAAGCAACCTGGAATTAAGGAGACATTCCCCAACAGTGAGGACAATTAACCAGTGGAACAGCTTGCCTTCAAAAGTTGTGGTTGCTCCATCACTGGAGGTTTTTAAGAAGAGACTAGACAGCCACTTGTCTGGAAGGGTCTCCTGCTTGAGCAGGGGGTTGGACTAGAAGCCCCCCAAGATCCCTTCCAGCTGTATACTGATTGATCATAATTATGTTGTTCTGAGTAACACTACAAGTTGACACGTCTGACTAGTCCTTGACCTCAAACTTTTAGTACTTTGGGGATGGGCGGTGTGTGTGTGTGTGTGTGTGTGTGTGTGTGTGTGTGTGTGTGTGTGTAGAAAAGAAACATGAGCAGACAGAAAAGCATCTTTTGAGACCTGCTGGTCATCTCCCTTTTCATAATTATCTTGAGTGCAAAATTCATAAGGTATGAAGATAAGGTAGGACCAGATACTTTGGCCACCAGATGAGGAAAGAGGACTCCTTGGAAAAGACCTCAATGTTGGGAAAGATGGAAGGCAGAAGGAGAAGGGGACAGCAGAGGATGATATGGTTAGATAGTGTCATCAACACAATGAACATGAATTTGGGCAAACTCCAGGAGGACAGGAGGACCTGGGGTGCTATGGCCGATGGGATCACAAAGAGTTGGACTTGTCAATTGAACAACAAAAATCCATTTAAACTTGGATGCATAGTAGCTCTCATACTATGTCCATGGAGGTTCTCATTCATCCAGGTCATGGTTGTCCCAAAGGTGCTTTTTCAAGAGGCAACTGTCTTTTTCTTTGAAGACGTTTCGCTTCTCATCCAAGAAGCTTCTTCAGCTTTCTTCAAAGAAACATCTTCAAAGAAAAACCAGACAGTCCAGTTGCCTCTTGAAAAAGCACCTTTGGGAGCCACATCACAAGTTTTGGGATCTTCATTTATAAAAAGAGTTGTGGCCCCCTTTTCCTATATTGTCTGAATGTGTAGTTCACGAAGAAATAATTCAATTAGTGGTGTGATTGGCAAGGAATTACAGTTAGTTTTAGGTGCTGTGCCAGCTTTCTTTTTGCTTTTTTGTCATCTTCTTTCCTAAGCAGTCCTGTTGTTGTTGTTGTTTTTTTTAAAAAAATTCTAGCTGGTTTGATTGAAATGTTCACAGAATGCTGGAGCAAGAAATGCACCTGGTTGTTTGTTTGCTGGTTTGTAAGTTGTAAAAAAAAAGGTTTAGTAATTTGGAAAAAACACGACTGTTTTCCAAACTACAATACAGCAATAAGAAGACAAATGGATCTGAAATGTAACTATCCTGAATGCTGTTACTTCTGATAACCTCTCTTATAACCTTTTATTGTCTAGGCTACTTTTTTAAAAAGGAAATAAATACATTTTTCCCTTCTTTTTCTTCTCTTTCCTCTCTCCTCGCAGGAGTCTGAAAAAAAGGGTTTAATAGAAAGAATTCACATGGTCCAAGACATTGTTATAACAGTCCAAACACTTTTGGAGGAAATAGCATCTTTTGCAGAAAGGATAAAAAAGTAAGTCAAAGTTTTGTTCCCATGCTCTGAAAAACCTCTGAACACCATGGCTGGAAACAATTGGAAAAAAAAACCCTTTAACTGGAAATTTCTGAAAGCCAATGCAGAATGGAATAAAGGTTGTTTCCTTCAACTGAATGTCAACTCAGTGATGATAATCTATCATCATAGAATTCTTCTTTCTGAATTTCTTACACATTTAATTATGATTGAAAATTTATGGAGGACCAGAAATCGGGAATTCTAGTTCCATGTTAATATGGAGCCAGCTTGATGTCCTTGGACCAGTCACTTTCTCCAAGCCCTAGGAAGGAAGGAAGGAAGGAAGGAAGGAAGGAAGGAAGGAAGGAAGGAAGGAAGGAAGGAAAAGGGAAGTGGGTGGGAAGGATGGGAAAGAAGGAATGAAAGAAAAGGGGAAGGAAAGGAGAGCAATAGGGAAGAAGGGAGGGAAGGGAGCAAGGAAGGAAGAAAGGAAGGAAAAGGAAAGTGGGTGGGTGGAATGGGAAAGGAAGAAAGGAAAGATGAATGGGGAAGGAGGGAGGGAGGAAAGACAGGAAGGAAAGAAGGAAAGAAGGAAAAGGGAATTGGGTGGGAGGGATAGGAAAGGAAAGGAAGGAAGGAAGGAAAAGGGGAAGGAAAGGAGAGGAATGGGGAAGGAAGGAGGGAGGGAAGGAAGGAAGGAAAAGGAAAGTGGGTGGGCAGGATGGGAAAGGAAGGAAGGAAAGAAAAGGGGAAGGAAAGGAGAGGGATGGGAAAGGAAGAAAGGAAGGAAAAGTGGAAAGAAAGGAGAGGGATGGGAAAGGAAGGAAGGAGAGGGATGGGGAAAGAAGGAGGGAGTGAGAAAAGAAAGGAAGGAGGGAGGAAAGAAAGGAAGGAGATAAATCTATATGAGTTCTGAACTCTGCATTACAAATCCAAGATTCATACAAGTGAATTTCTCTTCATGCAATGAAAAGTCATATTTCCCCATGTGTCAAATGAAACAATGCTGGTCTTTTCAGAGCAAGGGTGCCACATCACACAAGCTTAACCTGTACAATTCCTTCCCACAATTTAATTTTAATGGCTTTAGGAGATTATTTCAAAACAAGCTGGATCAACTGAGACATTAAATCTTCTGCTAAGTTGGAGATCCCAGCTCTCATTTGTCCAAATGATCTCCTTCCTCAGTTCACCCCTTTATCAGTGTGCCTAAGATTTCTTGGCTGCATAATGCTGAAAGAAATCAACACAGCTTCTAAAAGCTTCTAAGATCCAGCCACCTATCATTTGTTATCAAATCAATCAGTCCTAGAGAAATCAACCTTGACAGTTATTTGGAAGGACAGATCCTACAGCTGAAGCTCAAATACTTTGGCCACCAGATAAGAGGAGAGGACTCCTTGGAGAAGACCCTGATGTTGGGAAAGATGGAAGGCAGAAGGAGAAGGGAATTTCAGAGGATGAGATGGTTAGATAGTGTCATCAACCCAATGACCATGAATTTGGGCAAACTCCAGGAGACAGTGAAGGACAGGAGGACCTGGTGTGCTATGGCCCATGGGGTCACAAAGAGTTGGATATGACTTAACAACTGAATAAGTAAAATCATGAATTCCATTTAAACTCTTCTTCTTTGCCACCAAATTTGTTTTTTGATTGGACTTCTATTCCATTTGTTTTCCACCCAACCTTTTATGTCGATCATCAAGCAGTCTGCTATTCCTACATTGGACAGGTCTACCCTTGTTTAGTTTCATCTGAAAATTTCAGGCTCTTTTCCGGCCCAACAGAGAAGAGTAGAGAATAGGCCCCACGAAGCAAAGAGGACAGAGCTTCCTGGCATAACTGTGTGACCCTGTTTTCTTCTCCTCTTCCAAACCCTCCCACGTGCTCACAAATGGAGCCTTGTCAACAGTTCCCCTCTTTCAAAGCGCAGCCGCGTGGGGTCTAAAAATACCAGAAACCTATGTGTTGCGATTGTGCCACATCTGTCCCAGCTGCCCGGGAATACGTAAGAATGGCTTTTGAGTCTCAACAGAGCACTGTTCTATGTGCAGCTGGATGGCAATGAGATTGTGAACGTTGGATGACTTCCTTCTGGCATTCAGCTGGGTGACAATGATCCCTTAAGATCCCAGTGGGACATGAATATGGTTGCCTGCCTAATGCCTCAAGAATCCAATTGTGTCTCAATTGTAATGTTGCTGTGGACGAAGGAGGAGGACGGGAAGTCCGCTGGGGTAGTTTGAACAAGTGTCACAATGGTTTACACAAGCATTTCCATCAGCATAACCCTTGGTATCAAAGAGCCTTCTTAATAGCTTGCTTCTATCAGACTCCAAGGATTTAAAAATACATTTCATATATTAATTGGCCTGGGTTCACCCTCACTCTAATTTAAATGGGAAGGTCTCCATTGACGCCGAGAGATGCATGATTTCTTCTATTCATTAAAATAAATATTAAAAAACCTCCATCAATTAAGAGAAAGCATTGTTCATGACCCAACTGAGTTATTCCTTAGTGTCTTGTAAAGGACAGAAAGATGAAGCTGACCTACTTCTGATCAAGAGCCATGGGATGTCTGCTTGACCCCCAAAGACTGAGTGCAATTCACACAGCTGCTCTGAAGAGCAAAACAATTCATAACATGTAGAGATGGGTGAAGAATTGGGAGCAGATATACTCAACTCTTTGACCATATGTTTGACTAGACGGGAGCAGAATTGATATAATCTCCTTTGATCTCATTTGCATCCTTTAGATATGAAGATAGTTGGAAAACTATGTGTCCATTGATTTCCATTAGTGTTTTTTTTTTAAGGATGACCTTGGAGGGGAAGGAAACAAAGCCTTCTATCTTCCCTCAGGCCCAATTAACTGTCAAAATCACTCTACATGGAAGCCAGAGATGAAGACTTCTCACTGTTTGGCAAGAAGAATGGTGGATTCCCAATGATATGCAATAATGTCTATGGCAGTGATGGTGAATCTTTTGTGGCTCGTGTGCCAAAAGTGGGGAGAGCGCAGGGGGGTCGTGTGTGGGCGTGCCACACCCATAATGCTATGTGCATGACCCCAGGGCACATGTGAGCACGACCAGTGCTCCCCTCCATTTTTGGTGTGCTTTTTTCAACCTCCCCAGGTTTTAAAGACTTTATAGGAGCCTGGGGAGGGCAAAAACAGCCTCCCCTGCCCGCCAGAAGCCCTCTGGAGGCTTCAGGAGCTTCCCTGAAGGCTCTGGAGGGCAAAAAACGACCCTAAGAGCAACCCAGAAGTATGTTCCTGAACTTCCGGTTTGCTTGTAGGGCCGATTTTAGCCTTCCGGAGCCTTCAGGAGGCTTTCCTGAAGGCTCCAGAGGGCAAAAAAACCCCAACCCTACGAGCAACCTGGAACTTTTGGTTTGCTCGTAGGGCCAGTTTTTCACACTCCAGAGGCTTCAGGGAAGCTCTTGAGGGTGAAAAAGGGCCTCAAAAGAAGACTGAAGTCAGCTGGCCAGTGCGCGCATGCACACTGACAGGGCAATGCCTCACGTGCCCAGAGAATGTGGCGTGCTATAAGTTCGCCATCATGGATGTATGGAGATTCTCAGTCATCCAGGTCATGGTTGTCTCAAATGTGCTTTTCCAAAAGGCAATTGAACTTTCTCTGAAGACATTTCTCATCCAAGAAGCTTATTCACTGAAAAAGCTTTTTGGACGAGAAGCAAAACATTTCCAAGGGGGAAAAAAACCCAAGAAAGTCGAGTTGCCTTATTGGGAAAGCATCTTTGAGACTACTGTATCTGCAATCCTTAATTACACAGTCTTTAATGCCTAAATTAAATGTTTTTACTTAACATTAAATTGGCCAAAGTCCTATTATAATTGAGTTGAAGGACTAGCACCATTGCATCTATACATGAGACGATATCAAGGGCCTCCAAATTTGTTGACCCCTGAAAAGTGTAGATTAGAAGTTTTGAATCAGACAAAGAACAAGAATGCTCAAATTCCCATAACAATTATTCTTGTGCAGTTCACTTGAAACAGTATTTCCCAGGTAGGGGTTCCCAACTCCCGGTCCATGAACCCGCAACTGGCTGCAGCATGGCAGAAAGGGGTCCACGCAAACAAGCGAAGCCCTATCCATGGGATGCAGGAGGCACACGAAACCAGGCCCCTTCTGGTCTGTGGAAAAACTCTCTCCACGGAACCGATCCCTGGTGCCCAAAATGTTGAGGGCCGTTGCACTAGAGCAGGGATGTCAAACTCGATTTCATTGAGGGCTGCATCAGGGTTGTGTTTGACTTCAGGGGTGTGGCCAGCTCGGCGTCACTTGTGTCAGCGTCTGTGACAGCCCAAGCATTCTGCCAGCGAAAATGGGCTCCCGAGCTCTGTTTTCAGTTGCAACGGCCTCCTGCAACCCTCTATCAGCAAAAACAGAGCTTGAGAAAGCCTCCTGCGGCCCTCCCGAACTCCATTTTTGGTTGCGACGGCCTCCTGCAATCATCTGCCAGTGAAAACGGAGCTCAGGACGGCGGCCCTCCCGAACTCCGTTTTTACTGGCAGAGGCTGGTCCTTTGCTGTTTCCAGGGTGGCCCCATGGGCCAGATCTAAGCAGCCCCTGGGCTGGATCTGGCCCCCGGGCCTTGATTTTGACAACCCTGCACCAGAGTACTCTAGCTTTCTCCTACATGCAAGATACTATTCTGCAAGATGTCAGTCACACTATTGGATTAGTAAAGTATGATTGCAAGTACTTGAAATCACTAAAGACTTCTCTGGTATCTTTTTCCACATTGGTTTCACTCGGTTCAACTGGACTGCTTTTCTCTCGGCCCTGGCATGCTTAGTGTAGATTCCAAACCTGAACTGTTTTTATTAGGGCTGATATCAGAAAAAAAAAATCATAAGGAAAGTATGTATTTAATATTACATGTCTTAGCAGCAGTGAGGATTATCTTCGCACAAAATTGGAAAAATGAAGAAAACACCGCAAGACGAAGAGATCATTAAGATGTTAGATTGTGCAGAAAGGGATAGGCTTACATTGAAAATCAAACAGAAAGAAGATGCAGAATATTATCAAACACGGAACTTATTTTACCAATGGTTGGAAAAAAGGGAGTGGAGAGTAAGAATGGAATCTATGTTGTTGTTGTTAGTTGCGAAGTCGTGTCCAACCCATTGCCACCCCATGGACCACGTTCCTCCAGGCCTTCCTGTCCTCCACCATCCTCTGGAGTCCATTTAAGCTCATGCCGACTGTTTTGGTGACTCCATCCAGCCACCTCAATCTCCGTCTTTGAGTTTCCTCTTCAGGATCTGGCCTTCTAAAGAGCAGCCAGGATGGATCTACTCTAGGACTGAGCTATTCTGTTCTGTTCTGTTCTATTCTATTCTATTCTATTTTATTCTATTTTATTCTATTTATTGTTGTTAATCATGAAGTCGTGTCCAACCCATCGCGACCCCATGGACCACGTTCCTCCAGGCCTTCCTGTCCTCTACCATCCTCTGGAGTCCATGTAAGCTCATGCCGACTGTTTTGGTGACTCCATCCAGCCACCTCAATCTCTGTCGTCCCCTTCTTCTTTTGCCCTCCATCGTTCCCAGCATGAGGCTCTTTTCCAGGGAGTCCTTCTTCCTTCTCATTAGGTGGCCAAAGTCTTTGAGTTTCCTCTTCAGGATCTGGCCTCCTAAAGAGCAGTCAGGGTTGATCTCCTCTAGGACTGACCGATTTGATCACCTTGCAGTCCTTCTTCTTTTGCCCTCCATCGTTCCCAGCATGAGGCTCTTCTCCAGGGAGTCCTTCTTCCTTCTCATTAGGTGGCTAAAGTATTTGAGCTTCCTCTTCAGCATCTGGCCTTGAATCTATATTGTTAAGCAATTTAAATACCCAGACAACACGATGTTTATTAGGCACTAAGAAATGTAATAAATAGAAAATGAATAAACATTTATTTTTCCATGTTGGTTTCAGTACGTTCAACTGGACTGTCCCTTTCCTGTCTGCTCTGGCTTGCTTGGTGCTGACGATAGCAATGATCGTGCTGTATTACATACCATTACGGTACCTTGTTTTAATATGGGGTAAGTCTATTCCTCATGCCATTTCCTTTCATGGATTCTACTATATGCATTTCTATAACAGTCTGTGGAGACATCCCTGTAGTCCTGGACTTACAATCATTTGTTTAGCAACCATTCAGAGATACAGCAGCACTGAAAAAAGAGAGACTTATGACTGGTCCTTGCATTTATGACTGTTGTAGCATCCCCACAGTCCCATGATCAAAAATCTGGGCTCTTGGCAACCAGTATGTATTTACAGCAACTGCAGGGTCCTGGGGTCATGGGAGTGCCGTTCGTGACTTTCCCAGCAAAGTCAATGGGGAGAAAGCTAGATTTGCTTACCTGATCCCCGTGTATTAGTGAATTGCAATGATTTCCTTAACAACAATGGCCCAAAAGGTCATAAAATAGAATTACAGTAGTGCAAAGCCTGAACTAAGGGTTCAACCGCCAAATTTTCCCTCCCTTCTCATTGCTTTGTCTCTCATTGTCCAATGAATTTTTAAAAGAGATGTTTTGGAAACACTCACTCTACGTCTTGTCATTCTTCTGCTAGAGAAATGACCTTGAAGACTTTGACGGTTCTCACAGTTCAGTTCCCCTTTCCCCCAAGCCCTCACCCTCCTTTCCAGCCCCCAACCCCAGGATTTATGGCAGACTGGCAGTGAAGTGGCAGTTCTGATAGTAGGAGGAAGCAATATTAGGTCTCTTCACTGCCTTGATTTACTTATAACGTGATAAAGATGGGATAAAAATCATACAGACAGACAGACAGACAGATGANGGGTGAATGGCTTTAACGTCAGCAGTGATGCTCACCCCTCTTTTTCCTTTATTCTGAGTAGGGCTCTTCTCCTCCAACTCTCGGGCTTCTCTCGGTTTGAATTAGAACTGGAAGTTACATAGAGAAGTATCACAGGGCACAGATGCAGGGATGGGCTGCTACAGGTTTGCCATAGCTAACATTATGGTCAATTCAGAGAACCTCCAGATCCCACCCCTGGCTGGACCTGCCCACCCCATCCCGCCCCTCTCAGGAGTCTCCACGCAGCCCGTTTTGGATGCAAGGTAAGTTCAGGGCCTGGGTGGAGCCTTGGGAAGGGGGGGGGGAAATTGGTCTCCCAGAAGTTCCGGAAGGCCAGAAACAGGCCAGTTTCCAGCCTCCAGAGCTTGGGGGAAGCAATTTTCTCCCTCCAAGAGGCTCAAGGAAAACTTCCGGAGCCAGAGGGAAGGCGAAAATGGCCCCTGCGCCATTTTACAAAATAAAAACAACAAAATTGGTTGTATTGTACTAGGCCACACCCACCCTGGCCACGCCCACCTGGCAACCGGGCAGAGAACCTGTTGCTAAAATTTTTGAAGGCCTGCACAGATGTGTACTAAACAGCAGGTTTATTGCAACACCCAGGAAGACCATTAAAAAAGAATTCCCGTGATTGCCAATGTTTTTTTTAAAGCTTGATGTGTAGTGATTTCTCTCACCAGTGCAGTGCAATAGCCTAGAAGCCTTCTACTTTAGATAGGAGGAGGAATCTCTATCTGTCCCTTGTTAATGAACTAATCTAGTTTCAGGTTTCTTGCTTCAGGTCTTGCCCAAAATATACCTCACATCCGCCTTTTTTGGGAGGTGAGCATCATCTGTCATATATCATTTGCTTATTTGCAAAGGCTGCCACGATAGATGTTCTAAATTACAAGATGCCAATATACCAAAATGCAAAGAGCGATTCGGTGGCCCAGAAATGGCGCTCTCGTCTCACAATCAGGAGGCCATGAGTTCGATCCTAGGTAGAGGCAGATATTACTCTCTCTCTGGGCACACTGAGAATATATCTGCTGAACAAAACTCTGCATGGGCGACAGGAAGGGCATCTGGCCAGTAAACACTCAGCTCCATTCAGTTGCCCAGATTCCACCCCACAAAGGATTATGGGGTCATTAAAAGGAGATGGATATACCAAAATGCAAATTGGTGAGCTATGGCTATACAAAGTTCTTGGCAACAATACAGAAGTGTTTTCCCAACCTTCCCTTCTGTTTGAATTTGAGATTCCCTGTCTCAGTGGACTGTCCCCCCCCCCCCCACCCCCTCATACAGCAGAGTTTAATTGCTCTCACTCCCTTTTTTGATCTTCCTAGCAAGGGTACCCATACTGAGAGCAAAATTGCTCTAAAGCTTCTCGTGGGAACTATAGACACTGAAGCTCCCCATCACATCACATCACTAATCCCTTGGGTGAATTACTCTGGAGGGAAAAAATAAATTTAGAGACAGTTTCTGTCACAGAATTAAAGAAGAACAGATCAATCAATCCATGACCATTCATCTAGGCCAGTGGTTCCCAAACTTGGCAACTTTAAGACTTGTGGACTTCAACTCCCAGCATTTTCCCGCCCGCCCTGCCGGGGGGTGGAAGCCACAAAGCTTTAAAGTGCCCAGTTTTGGGACCAC